TCTAATATGCGTACACGTAGGTCGAGGCTTTGAAGTCGGCGATTGAGTTCGGCTACATCAGCTTGACTCACCTGTATCTGCTGAGATGAGGCTGAAGCTGTAGGGTCTTGTGGTAGGTCAGAGGCAAAGTCGTCGTGGACATCCACCAAGGAGGCTGACGGCAAAAGGTCTGTCATGTGGCTATGGTCGGCTTGAAAGGCTAGAGGCCCAGATAGGCCAGCATTCAGACGTTGCATCTGACTCAGCTGGGACGAGGCGCTGCCAGTGGGCATGCCCCCGTTGAATTGATAGGCCGGGCTGCTGTGGCTATTCCAATTGGCATCCCAGGCTCTCCGCTCGGCTGCTGTACGCGGCATGTTAGGCTAGAAGGCTAAGGCAAGATTGGTAGATCGAACTTTGAGCAGAATCGCTGTGGAGTATGCTATGGAGCCAGGGTATGCCAATACATGGTGGAGGCTATCTGAGCTTGGGGCTCAGCACTTGGAGGCAGAGGCTTCAGACCTGGAAGGGCAGGTGCATGGCTGTGGCTCGGGCTTGATCAGCTATGTTATCATGGCAGGCTCGGTTGCCAAGAAGCAGGGCTCTCCAATCTTGAGAGTCGAGGCAAAGTAAAAGCAATGAGCAAGGCTGAGTACCGAACAAGGTGTCGGTCAGACTCTGACCTGAGCCGGCAAACCGGAATGACTGAGCTCGAGAGGCGATCTGTTCGTAGAGACCGACCCTGTACATGAACTGGGGTCTCAAGGCTAGAGGCAAAAACTGGGGCTGCAACTCATCGTTCGGACCTGTCGAGGCTGGTCGCGGGCTGATTTCACCAGTGCTAGAGGCAGAGACCGAACCCTCGCTGGAGGGGAAGAACCTGAGATCGTCTTGATATATCTGGGCAAAACCTGTGGCATCAAGGCTGGGAAGGCTTTCTTCAGACGGCAGCCTGAGAACAGCTTCCTGGTCAAATCCCGGGGCTTGTCCCATGGTCTGAGGGAAATCTGAGGCACTAGCACCTGTCGAAGGCAAGCCTAGCAGGCCAAGATAGGTTCTGCAGGCAAGAATGGTCTCGAGAGGAGACGAACCGAAAAGGCAACATAGCACGGCAAGGCTAGGACGCTAGCGGCCAAGGCGGCAGTCTAA